ATTACAAATTTAAATTTGTTTTATTATTTTTTCATTCTCAAGTTTGTAACTGCACGGCCGGATGTGAGGACCTGCAAGTCACAGTGATGTGTGAGGTTTACATACAAGAATAGAGTTAAATACCCGTCCACGAATATAAGAACTTCTAGCATTTAAAATTTTATCCATAAATATAAGCATTTCCGAAGAACTACTTCCCCCTCCAACCACCCCTCAGTAACTGTTTGCGCAGTTTTATCCCAATTGTAGTATTATAAAGGGCCTTTCCCATCTCAAAAGCTAGCCGTTGAGGTGAGGAGCTCCCCTACTTATATATTAGGTCCATTGCCCTTTCACAACCAATATAAGACTATTCAACACCAATCACCCCTTATTTAACCATAGGCATCATAGTCTTTTCGCTTCATTTTTAATCTCTCTAGAAGCCCTTATATTTGTGGACGGAGAGACCGAGAGAGAATAGACAACGCTGTCAATGATTAATCAGGGTGTGGCATGAATTGTTCAATGGGGGTCTACCAGAGGTACTAACATGTAATGACCAAAGGATCAAGTGGCTGGATGATCAAGAATTCGTTGTTGGAACCTTATCATGATCATTGATTTAATTGACAGCTCACTTAGAGAGGAGAGGCTCCATTAATCTGCATGGCCAAATTATTTGGACTGTGATTATCTATAATTTGCAGAGGTTCAGGTATGCTCAATCTGGTAAATTCCTGGAATCATTTTCTCTTTCTGGTTCATATAAGAACACTAAATTATTTCCATATAATCCTCTAAGATAAGCAATCACAAGATATGAAGGAAATATTGACACGCAATTAAGGAATTTTTCACTTTAAAAACAAACAATTCCTCCTTTTTTTTTAAAAAAAAAAGAAACAATTCCTTACCTCTCATATCATATCCCAAATCTTCATTCATAAGGTCTGGCAAAGATTCTAAATCACCCCTGGAATCATTTCGTTGTCGACAGCACTATCACCTTTCACAAATTCTGCTTCATCTGTTTGTGGAAATTGTACTCTGAAAGGGACCAATACAAATAGAAGGCAGTAAGTTAGTAATCAACCATGGCGTGCACATTCAACATGTTATTTTCGTGAATCCAAGTAAAAATCAATAAATTCGACAAAGACTAAAGATATATCGATCACACCCATAATCATGTGCACGGTAATATCCTTGTTGCAAATATCTGTGTCCAAATTTTGACACACCTTGTCAGCCATGAAAAACAAGCAACTTATTGACCAATTTTATTATCAGATAAAATAGTATAAGCTAAAATTATAACAAATTATCATTGTAACTGTGAAAGGCAAAAGCGTATCAACCACGCTGTCATCAAGTTCACAAACAGAACCATGATACCAAAAAGGGCATGCAAAAGGTATGGCCGTGTACGCAAACAAATGATTCCAAAATGCTGATATGGGAACAGGAGTGCTCAAAGAGCAGATCATATAAGCCAGATAACAACAAGGAATAGAATTAGATAAGACCAATCAAAAGTACAGAATATAAAGAGAAAAGAAGATGTTACTGAAAATGACTAATCAGGATGGAACCATATCACTGACGATTTAAAGATCTGAACTGACCATGGTCTATAGAATAGGAAGTTAACCCTCAACATAAAAAATTTCACAAGTGGCTGTAACATTATTAGCCTTCAGCAACAGCTAAATATGGCATTCAATTGATAAGCAGATTAAATTAGATTTGAACTTCACACATAATTTTTGAGACGTTGCAATCAGCATGGTCTATGTATTAATGGTACTACCCATGTGAGACCTTCCCCTGTGTTGTTTGAACATAATTGCAACAACGTTTCAACCAGCTCATCATTATAAAGACGAACACCATCGCCACATCTCCTAATAAGTAAGAACACCATCATCCACAGTTGAAAGATGCAACAAGAAAATGGGAATGGACACATGCATGCACATGCCTGCAAGGACCGCCACTTCATCGTTCACCACTCTCACATGATCACCTGTGATAATGCAGACGACATCCCAACAGAAGCAAGATATCAGGAACACAAGAAACACAAGGAAGTGGCTGAAAATTCTGGTTGTCAGATTGTTTTAATGGTCCTGTAAAGCACCAGCTTTTCATAGAACAATCTATTAAAAGTACTGTATAAAAGATATTAGCACAAAAGTGTGTTTGTAATACATCCCCTCCAAGCTAGTTGATATTGTAAAACCATCAAACCGTTAGTCTGCTTCACCTGGACTATATTTTTAGTATTATATTCTTTTTTCAAAAATTAGAATAAAAAATCTAGGAGCAGTGCTGAACAAGGCCCTTCAAAAAGCAGTAGAAATTCGTTGATATCAAAAGATAATTATTCCATCTTAATGGGATAAACTCAATGTAGTTGATAAGAATCGAAATTACAGAAGATGCAAACGAATCAACAAAAAAAATGCATATTTAATAGAAAAAAGGTTGACATCCCAGGTAGAGGATGGACCAGTAGTCACCTGTATGGAATTCTGCCTCTGAAAGTATATTGAAGAGCATACCAGATAGGGACTCGTATGGTTTAGCTTTTGGCCAGGCCCACAAAGATAGTACTAATACACAAATAGCCCTGAAATTTCTATTTCCTCGTGTCCTTCAAACACGTGCAATGGCATAATGATGGCTAGGCAACAATGGATAACTAATGCATTTATCATTGCTAAATTATAGACAAGTTCAACATAGTTCCTTTTTTCTGGAAAGGTTTTTAAAATAGAAAATGAGTAACATTGGACGTTATTTTACAATTTAAAAAAATGTATAGTTTACCTTCAAGGAAAAGATTTAACCAGTATATGATTGTCAATGACTTTGACATCAATACCAGAAAATTACAGAAGATGTACGAAAAAAGTATCCCCAGCAGCACATCCTAACATCAAAGTAGGCACCACTTATTGTTGTCAGCCAGTATGCCATAGTACCCTGCATGACATGTGAGCATCTGTCAGGATAGCAATTAGCAAGTGCTATATCCAGCCAGCAAAATCATTACAAAAGTAAATCATACGCTTATTATTCAGTTATAACATCGACAAGCCCAACAATTAGTGTACCAAGAAGAAGGTTTTTTCCTTTGTCTAGAATATAACTTCGGGGTCCATTGCAAAGCACAAGATATGAAGTGGGTACCATCTGACCAAGTACTGGCTGATTCACCAAGAACGCGATACAAGACAGAACTTCAAATAAGATTGTAAACAAGTGAAACTTTTGCCAGAGATCACAATAATGGAGATACAGTCTGTTCATTCCTCACTGGTCCCATGAAAACAGGCAGCCCAATCAGTGCACCGGATAAACACTAATTGCAGCAACTGGTAGGCATCAGAACACGGAGGCTACTTAGACTGAGTGACTGACAAGAGATTGTGGATGATCTTATTAGCCATTCATCTGCTTTAATTAGTTGAGATGAACGTAGAGAATGGATCCTTCACCCCCACTAAAACAAATCTTAGTTGAACACAACTACCAAAAGAATATACCCAACGATTAAGTCCATTGCAGATTACTGGCAGAAATGACATCCATGATTCCGGCCGTCCTGTTCACATTTGCACAAACATGTGGATGGCAGTGCTAAGAAAAACATATGTCAGAAGTAAATTTGACTGAGATTAACAGAATGCCACTTACTGATGCACGAGTTCTTTTTTTAACCTTTGACTTGGGAACCAATGGCTACTACAAAAGTAACAATTATGAAGAAGCATAGCTATCCAGAAATTAATTACTAGTCACAATTGCCACTTCAGCACAAGGACTGGATGCACAACACACCAGCAAAACAATACACACCACAGACTGTTCTTGGTTGAATCGAGGAGAGCACCAGTCCACAGAAGGAGCCTGCACATTCACCAGAGCAAATGGTTGGAGAGGAGCCTGTTGGTTCTTGCTCAACAGAAGGCATTCGCAAGAGAATCTATCCTTGCAGATCAGCTGGAAATAAATTGCTTCAGGAGTTAATTTGACTGCAGCTGATCATCTACCAAAAGAAGTCAACTCTGTCTCGTGATAGAATCTGCCGACTTGTCTTAGCTAACAGCTTCCCACATCTCCCATCTAAAACACGCATGCCCTGTCCGTTGTTTTCCTCGTAAGGTACAGGACACGAGCAGTTTCCGGTTCCCTTCTTTTTAAAATTCCTCACCTTGACCCTGCATGTTCATCATGTGCAGCATACATATATATATATATATAAAGACCCAGCCTCCACACCCTCTGCAAACAGAGTTGGGTGGCCAAGAACAAGAACAGCAAAGCAACCATGACCCAAGCTCACTCAAAATCTTGCTTCCACCAGTTCTGGGATGGACTCCAGATCAAGAGGAGCAGCGATAGCTTCACTGTAGAGCTACTGCCATCCCTTGGTGCAACTATAAACCACTCCAACAAGTTGCAGAAGTTCATCATATCGCCTTATGATCCCCGGTACAGGTGAGGTTCACACTGCACTTTCTGTACCTATCACATGCTGCAAGGCATATAAGTAAACAGCAGTTGCTGACATGATCTTTGTTTGCTTTGTCTGTGTGTCTCTCAGATCCTGGGAGCTGTTCCTTATAGTCCTAGTTGTTTACTCTGCCTGGATTTGTCCGTTTGAACTAGCATTCCTGAGGGACTTACCATCTAAGCTTTTGCTAGTTGAGAACATTGTGGATATATTCTTTGCCATTGATATTGTTTTGACGTTCTTCGTTGCTTATGTCGATAGCAAAACACATCTTCTTGTGGATGACCGAAAGAGAATTGCAATGAGGTGTGTTCCTGCGTTACTCATTCCTATGATACTTTCATGTTAGAAACCCCACATTTGGAATTGAAAAAGGCCCAAACGATTCTGCCCTGACATTAGCAAACTACGATCATCTGCAGGTACCTATCCACTTGGTTTATCTTTGATGTATGTTCAACAGCACCATTTCAACCAATCATCCTTCTATTTACACACAAGGGGAATGACATTGCTTTCAAGGTACTCAATTTGCTCAGGCTGTGGCGTCTTCACCGAGTCAGTTCACTATTTGCCAGGTTCAAAATCTTGTCCAGGTTCTCCATAATTTGATGGCGAATCACAAGTGACAACTGCAACAATTTAATCATTCTATTTTATCAGGCTGGAGAAAGACATCCGATTCAACTATTTCTGGACTAGGTGCTCAAAACTTATTTCTGTAAGTCCTTCTGAACAAAAGAAACTTACCTTCTGTGTTCTGTGCAAAAATTTTTCTATCTTGCAAAGTACTAGTTATGTGCCTATAGGAAGAAATAAGCTGGTTCTTATGTGTATAAAATATGTATTGACCAAAATGCAGGTGACCCTCTTCGCAGTACATTGTGCAGGATGCTTCAATTATATGATTGCTGACAGATATCCCAACCCAGAGAAAACATGGATAGGAGCTGTGATGTCAACTTTCAGATCAGAGAGCTTATGGACTAGATATATTACTGCTCTTTACTGGTCCATTACAACACTGACAACAACAGGATATGGGGACCTACATGCTGAAAATCCAACAGAGATGCTATTTGATATTGTCTATATGATGTTTAATCTGGGCTTGACAGCTTATCTCATTGGCAACATGACCAACCTAGTTGTCCATGGGACCAGCCGCACCAGGAAATTTGTAAGTTTCTCTACTTACCAGCAAAAATGTCAATGGCAAATCTTCTGTCTACAGAAAGATCATTCAGAAATGTAGTTTTTAGTGAGATTTATATAGTGCTGAATGCAGCAGATTATGGCAGACAAGTGAAAATTTTAGCATTTGGAATGCCATTACAGATGTGATACACTACCCTTTGATCATAAAAATACAAATAAGCTGCATATGGATGCCATACAAATAAATGATGTCAAAGATCTGAGAACAAACTAGCATTTTGGTTTTATGCGTGGTGGGATGTATGGTTACATATAAAATCATGCTTATTCAAGAGCATCTACACAGTTATACAATTTATATGAATTGTGTCATAGGAATTAGTTATATCTAAGACATCCAGGGGATCAACACCCTAAGAACTAAGCACCATACATTCATAATATCCAATGGGTATAAGAACTATTATAGTTTCATTTACAAAAAAAAATGGTCATGCTGGACCATTCTTTTAAGTTCTTGTGCAAATGGCAGAGGCGGGTTTTCAACCATAGAGCAAAGCAAGGGAATAAATGAATAGAATCCTGTTCTTGTAGTATTCCACAAGGTACAAGTTCTTGTATCCCTACGTCATTTGACCATTCTAAGGGACAACAACATCAACAAAATATCATTCAACTCAAGGGCAAGAATACTAAAAGAGGTCTGAAGTGAATGCAAATAGCATAGTCATCATTTTAACTAAAACGGTTACTACTACCAGCATTGTTGTTCCAATATATGTACTGCTATATTGATGATCCTTTAAAAAATATATGTGCAGAGGGACTCAATCCAAGCAGCATCAGAGTTTGCAGCACGCAATCAGCTACCTGAGAACATAAAGCAGCAAGTGCTATCTCACTTCTGCCTACAATTCAAGACAGAGGGACTCAACCAGCAGGTCATGTTAGACTGTCTACCAAAAGGAATCCGCTCAAGCATAGCATACAGCTTATTCTTTCCGATCATCCGGCAAGCCTATCTCTTCAATGGAGTATCTGGCAATTTCATTGCAGAACTGGTAAAATCATGAAATAATTCAATATTTTCGTAGTACCATACAAAAGCAATACTTTCCAGTCTTTACTAATTGAATATGTTGAACAAAACAGGTCATGGAAGTGCAGGCTGAGTACTTCCCACCAAAGGAAGATATAATATTGCAGAATGAAGGAGAAGCAGATGTTTACATAGTAGTTTCAGGAGCAGTGGTTAGTATTCTATCTCCAATTTAGTTCAGACATGAAATTTCACTAAGGCTTTATCTGTACGCTAATTGCGCTTTTCTTAATGCTTTTTCTATGTAGAATATAATAACAACAATACATGGGAATGAGCAGGTACAGGTTTTCTCTGTATATATCTATTCCAGATATCAGTAAGATTTATTCAGATTTACCAAAAATTATGAATTGTTTGAAAACAGGTATATGAGAAAATTGCAGAGGGAGAAATGTTTGGAGAGGTTGGTTCTTTATGTAACATACCCCAGCCATTTACTTGCCGCACAGCGGAGCTATCACAGCTTTTAAGAATAAGCAAAACAAGGCTTAGAGAGATCATTGAAGAAAACAGGGAAGACAGTAACATTCTAATGAACAACCTAGTTCAGGTATAACTTCAATTTTATTTTCAAACAATTATACTGCATTTTTTACAGCTAATCAGAAGTTAACAACTCTATTCCAATGTACAGAAGCTGAAGCTACGAGAAAGTTTACCTGACATGAATCAACCAGACCGAAGATTCTTGAGCAAGTATGAGCTATTCCACGTTCCTCGAGAAGCATGGCTGCTGAAAAAGTCACAACTACATTACACAGAGCACACAAGTAGGGATTCTAGTAACAACACTCCAGTATTTGGAGGTGACAGATATTCCAGACAGTTACTTGGAGAAGCAACCCGATCTTCGGCATCAGAAAACGAAAATAGCAGTATGACAGATAAAGAAGAGAACCATGATGAAGTTCACACAAACTGTGAGATCAAAAAAAGAACGGAAGAGCACTGTATCCAGATAAACTCTGAAGATAGCAGCTCCACATACAGTCAGCGAACAATGAATGCAACAGTGCAGACAGGGTCTCCACATAAAACAGAAGAAAACATAACAAGAAGAATTCCAGATGAGTACTACATAAAAGAAGCAAACAAAAGAGTTACAATTCACAAATATCGTCATAACTCAACAGTCTCTGCTGCGCAAAATGGAAAGCTTATCAAGCTGCCTACATCATTGGAGGAACTGTTCAAAATTGGCAGTAAGTAAAATTAAGTTTTAAACTACCTATTTTAACTGTGTTTCGCCTATGCAATTTACTGAGTGGATAGCAGATGTAAATCTGCAATTTACTGTATATCAGCTACGGTAGTATGTATTTACTCTCATCATATATATTCTTCGCATGGCAGGTCAGAAGTTTCAAGGTTTTCATCCTAGAAAGGTGGTCAGTAGAGATTATGCTGAAATAGATGATGTCAGTGTTATCCGCGATGGCGACCATCTATTCCTTCTTGAGATGTAGAGAAGAAAACGCCATAACAACCTAACTGGACAAGTTAGAACTCTGGCATAAGTAATGGATGCACATCAAGATTCAGAACTGAAGATATGAAGAGGAATGACATTTTGACACTTCAATTTGTTTAATAGTTACTGACATGATGTAAATGCCTGATATTGTATGACAAATAAGCAAGGCAGCCTTAATGCATGCAGTCATGCAAAAAATCATGAAAGCATGTGGCCGAAAGCAGTTGTGTAGGTTTCTACTGCAAGGATTTTTAACCTGAAATTGTACATCCATTCATCTCTTTTAATAGGAAGAAAATGAGCATGTTAATAACAGCCCTGATTCATTACTTCCCTAGACTTGACGACTTGTGCTACACAATAATAGGAGTATATTGTTCCTCTTGGTGTTTGTGCTCTATTGTATCGTAATTGGTGTAGTCCGATGCAACTACTTCATATTTCAAGGACTATCAAGGTGTATCTTGTACTCTCTTTATCCCAATTTGATCATCACTTGTTTATTTGTGTCAAGACTAAATGAGCATCACTTAATGCACTACGTGCAACCCACCAAGATTAATTTCTGTTGGTCCAACTACATGCAATATTTAAAACTTGATGTAATCCATGGAACACAAAAAAACGTAGCACCTTAACCGATGAGAATCAATTACAGAATGATGAATGTTTTATTGTCCTTGATCTATGCTCCCTTTGCTTAGGTGATGATCAAAATGGGATGGAGGGAGTAATGCCTAACTAGTAATCAGTAAAACTTTTTCAACTTAAGTTCTGAAATACCATGAGTCAATAAATGAACAGCAGCAAGACTATTGGATTTTACTGTTGACTTCTTGAGACGTGTACTAAAGCAATAGTAGATACTGCGATTCTCGTCATCCAAAACATATCCAGCGGTGATCTAGCCAGCCTAACTAAAAATGTGTCCATAATCCCCAGAACTCTAATACATCTAATTCTGCATCAGTCACTTTGAAGAAAAAAAATAACTCCAAAATCTCAAAATTAGACGAGAGCACTTCACTCACAAACAAACAAACAAACAAACAAGAAAGGCGTAGGGTGCGGGGTGCCCCGCCAGAATACCTGCAATTTTGCGAGGGCCCAAGTGCAAAACTCGCCCCTACAGTGCGTGCGAGAAAGAGACGAGGAGATGGTGGTAGGTCACCTGGCGACGGCGCCGGTCGGAGAGCAGAGCGGCCCCGCCCGTGGTGGCGGGCTCCACGCGGAGCCACCGGTGGAAGCCGGCGGCGAGGAGGCAGAGGATCGTTGGCACGCGCGTGGGTTGGGGTGGGGGGGGGGGGTTGGAGGCGCGAATGCAGGCGCCATTGACGGCCCGTCCCCACGAGCCGCGGCGAGCGATCGCGCCGGCCGTGTGGGACCCGACGGCCGCCGTGGTGTGGCCGCGCCGCGTGGGACCCTATCCGGGGATGGAAACAGTGAACTGGACCGTCGACCATTTTTCTCACACGGATCCACCAAATCTGTGTAGGTCCATTTTGCCTCCCTCGGCTATAGCCTCACCCTGATATTTCAATTTTGATATACATCTGTTGATAAATTTTCTCCTAAAATTTAGCAAATATAATTACATACATTGTAACTTGCATATACTTCCGAGCGTCCAAAAAAACCAACCTAGAGGAACCAGATTCGTTATACTAGGAGGGGAAGGTTGGCTCTTTTTGGAACGGAGGGAGTACAGTGTAATTTGCATGTAACTTTCAAAATTCTCTTCATAACATGATATTTCGTTGAAACGGAGGTCATGGGAACGAATCCTCTTACATGTGTGCGCGTGCTGCGACTTTTTTCCTTTCTCACTTGCACAAATCTTGAAGCAAATCTAACGGTTTAAAATTATATAAAAGTTACATACAATGTACAATTATATTGTAGTTAAATGCAAATTACAGTGTAATTATACTACGGTTGTACTGGGATTACATCTATCAAAATTTTAAAATAAAAATTTATCGACAAATGTATAGGTGATCCCGATAATGAATTTGGACACCTCTCCTCCTAGGTTGAGTTTTTTTTTCTGTTGGACGGTGGGAGTATAGGTGCCATTACATTCAACAAAAGAAAATTTAAGAAAAAATAAAAATAAGGTGATGTGTAGCAATTCCCAAAAATATGGCGCAGCAGATACGATCCGTGTAAGGAAGATGGAGGCCTTGTTACCAAACTAGCCATGCTCCAACGATCTGAGATGCATTACTCCGAGAATAAGTTCATCTAAGGTCCTTTAATTTTACACCTAATCAGATTTTCGCGTCCTTGAACAATCTCAAAACCAGATACAACCGGTCCCTAAAATGTCAAATCGGGGGCAAATAAGGTCCCTCGGCGGTTTAAAAGGTGGTTTTGGCTGACGTGACGTCTATGTGGCTAGTTTGACTGGTTTTTTTTTCCCACGTAGCATTGACGTGGCGGTTACGTGGCAATTATATCTTGGAAAAATAATAAAAATCATGGACCCACATGCCAGCTTAAAAAATGGTGGGACCCATGTGTTAGCGACAAAAAAAAATAAATATGGTGGGGACAACGTGGGCCCCACGAGTCATTTCCTCTCCTCTCGGCTCTTCCTCTCCTTCCCGGATTGGGATTCGATGACATTCCCCCGCCGACCCCGACCTCTTCTTCGTCATCCTCAGCCAGTTCGGCGTCATCACCCGTGCCCACATCCCTCTCCCCCTGCGCCCCGACCTCAGAAAAGTAAGAGAGAGGGAGAGCCGCCGAGGTCCATCGAGATCACCTCGCCCCGCCCGTGCCCCTGCCACGGCGGCCGCGCCGCCACCAGTCCACCACCGTCGCGCAGAACCCTGTCGCGCTGCTGCAGCTCTGGGTCGACCGCAGGTGCCTCATCTTCCCGTTCCTCCACGCCGACTACATCCCGGGCTCCCTCCGCCGCTTCCTCGCCGGCGCCGCGGACTGCTTCGTCGGTGTCAGCGTGGACAAGGACGCCGAGCGGCTGAGCGACGACCACAGCCTCCCCGCGGGGAACACCGCCGACCTTCGCACCCTCGCGGCGCAGAGGCTGGGCTGCCCGGAGCTCATACAGGCCGGCCTACAGGCCGTGGTGCACGTCATCATGGGCGCCCACCTCGTCAAGCTGCAGAGGGTGACCATGAGCCGCTGGGACGCCTTCTGCCTCTCCAACGAGTAGATCTGGTACACTGCATCGACGCCTACGTCTCCTTCGAGGTCGGCCGGAGGCTGCTCCGCGCTTGATACTGAGGCCATCCACAATGGGTACCCCTGGGTCGTCTCCCCGCTCACGCCGTTCGCCGTCCGTCCGCTGCGCGTGTCCCTGGAGAGAGGCGAGACCCCCACGTGGGGAATGCGTGCCTCTAGCTCCTCAGCTCCCTTTTTCCGGAGACACTCCCTCGAGACTACGCATTGCAGCGACCCGGTGCCCCGTCCCCTGTCTCCTCCCCCAGTGTTTCCCCTTTTTGCCCTCACCGGCGGCATGGCAACGAGAGAGTGAGAGAAAGGAGAGATGCGACGGCGACGAGGATCCGCGACGGCGACGACCAGATCCGGCCACCGCCGCGGTAGCCGTCGGCCACCAGCCAGCGACGGGCGAAGACGGCTTCCTCGCGCCGCGGCAGCCGCCGGCCACCAGCTGGCGACGGGCTCGGCTTCCGCGACGGAGACGGTGACGATGACCTGGCGACGACCCCACATGCACCTCGGCTTCCTCCACCGCCACCGCCGGCCCCGCCACGGTCTCCTGGCGGATCTGGCCACGGGGGGCTAGATCCGCCCACGATGGCGCCGGATCTGCCCCCTCCGGCCGGCGGCGGCGGCGAGTAAGAGAGGCGGCGGCGAGGGGGAGAGAGAGAGTGGCGCGGCGGCGAGAGGGAGATGCGCACGGCGCGGCGGCGAGAGGGAGACGCGCACGGCGCGGCGGCGAGAGGGAGAGAGAGGGGCGCGGTGGCGAGAGGGGGCGAGAGGGAGAGGCACGCGGTGGCGAAGAAAAAGAGAAGAGGGCATGGTGGCGAAGAAAAAGAGAAGAGGGGTAGGAAAGTAAAAATATGAGTGGGGACTTTGTGGGCTAGGACACTCATTGTGTACAGGAGTATCTCTACCAGGTTGCTTTAGATCTTGAGGAGTCCATCCAAGGATACCCTACACTGCGAGCTGAGTTTTTCTACGATGTCCTCAGTTAGTGAGGATATTCTAGGAGTGTCTCACATTGTGATGCCCTGATAGACCGTCGATCGAGGCGGTCACCGTGGCACGAACCGCAATTGCTTGCATCCTCCGTGCCTAATTCTACCTAGATTAGAGATTAGATTCAGTTGCTGTTGTCTTTCGCTCATGCTCTCACGTAATGTTAGGCAAGGATTTATGAGATTTGAGGTGTTATGGGTTTATGCTTAGCACTGAAGAAATTGAAGAATCGGATGAAAAAAAAGGTGCCGATCTTCTGATCTAGACTATGGTTAATGAAACTAGCTGGGTGGCCTGCGCAATTGCGCGGCTAGCACCCAAACAAAATCATATATTTTTTAGTATGATTTTACTTAAAATTTATTAAATAGCTATCTCCGTATTTCTAATTATATAAAGTCATACCAGCTGCTACCCCTTACTTCTGTCATATCTTTTTTTAAGTTAATTGCACTTTGGTCCACCTTTTATTACCAAAGTTTCACTTTGGGCTATCCTCTAGCTCATATTTTCACTTTGGACCAGGTAAGATTACCTTGACCACCCCAAGTCATTTTCTTTAGCTGTATTTACTCTATAATATTGTAAAGAATTACATGCGTAAGTTGGAAAAGATTATCGGGTTACGGGTTGCTGATGTGTTTAAAGTTGAAAAAGTCTTTTATGTATTCATAAAAAGTTTATGCGGGTGGTCCAAAGTAAAAGAAAAGTAAAGTAACCTAGCTCAAAATGAAAAAATGTATTAAAAGGGTGGTCCAAAGTGAAACATTGGTAATAAAAGGTGGCCCTAAATGCAATTTACTCCTTTTTTTTATTTGCTTGCTCGGTCTACCATTATTTCTATTCATTCTCCTTGAAACCTTTAAAAATTGGATCTTATAGTTTTTTGAGTTTATTATCTTGTTGAATTTCGTTTTTATAATTTCTAGAAGTCCCACCAAACGCGGCCATTATACTCCTCTACGATCCGTCCACTGTCTTTTTCTCTTTATTGTCATTGAGATTTTACAAATCGAAAATAATTATCGTTCGAGTTCATTTTTTACTTTCTATAAGTCCCGCCAAACCGTCAGCGACTTTTCTATTGTACTCCTTGGCTCGCCCGCTGCCTCCCTTCTTTATCGTCATTGAGATTTTAAAATCGAACATAATTATCATTGTTTTTTTTTACTTCTTAGAAGTTCTGAACCTTTAAAATAGTTTTTAGAGTTTATTGTCTCAATGGTTTTTTTATATAATCTTTAGAAGTCTCGTCAAACGATACTACTGTACTCCTCTACGGCTCATCCGCCGCCTATTCTTTATTGTCATTGGGATTCTAAAAATTGAACATAACCATCATTGGAATTCATTTTTTTATTTTCTAAAAGTCTCGCCAACCGCCAGTGGCTCTGCAACTGTACTCCTATACACCCTGCACGTTGCTTCTTTTTATTGTCATTGAGATTTTAAAATCGAATATGATTATCAATGGGGTTTATTTTTCTTACTTTCTAGAAGTCACGACAACCGTCTTTCCCGTTTGCTTCACGGCATGCCTGTCGTCCCTCCTTTTAATCATCATTAGGATTCTATCTGGTGTTTTACTAACAGTTATTATATATCGTATCAACCGCCAGCACTCTAATCTTTTATAGATTTGTTACTTAATTTATCTCGTCATGTGTTTTAGATGGTCTTTTTTTCAATAGTCTTTATTTTTTATCATCAATTTTTGTTATTTATAAATTGTATTCCTAATTGAATTTTTTTTATTTCAGAATTTATATTTTTTTTCAAAATTTAATTAATACCGTATATTGTTCTTTCAATTTTTTTTTTGAATTTCAGTTGTTTCAAAATCTACTTGTGCTCTCTTTTAATTTTTCTAAATTTGGATATTATTATATTATTTTATTCTAAATTTTAATTAATATCGTATTGGGTTCTTATATGGATTCTTCTTTCAATATTGCTTATTTTTAATTCCGAATTTTAGTTGATTTTAAATTGTATTCCTACTTGAACTCTTATTTTATTTTTGCTAATTTTGGATTTTATTTTTATTTTTATTCCGAATATTAACTAATCTCGTATTGGGTTCTTATATGGACGCTTCTGTCAATATTCCTTATTTTTAATTCTGAATTTCAATTATTTTTAAATTATATTCCTACTTGGACTCTCCTTTTATTTTCTAATTTCGGATTTTATTTTATTTTTATTCATAATTTTGATTAATCTCGTATTGGATTCTTATATGAACTCTTCTTTCAATATTTCTTATTTTTAATTCTAAATTTCAGCTATTTTTAAATTGTATTTCTACTTGGACTCTCCTTTTCTTTTTCTCCGATTAATGTGAGAATTTCTAGCCCCCACGGTGAACGTGGTGCCTCCTTTTAAAGCTGTTTTAATAATATAATAGATTCCCTAATTATAATTGCGGAAATGATGCCTACCGGGCGCCTGGCGGGGGTGAAGCAGATCGGGCGCTCCCCCTGTTGGCGGATGTTAAATGACCGATTCTATACTGCCAACATATGCATAAAGTTTAGATAATAAAACATCCA